TGAAGACTTTTAGAATGAAGATAGGGACTGTGGAGTGAGAGGAGTAATCAGACTATGGGGCTGGCATTACCGTGAAACCATTAGGCCCTCTCACTCCTTCCTGGCTACAGACTAACTGCTAAAGAGGAAGCTCACAATAATATCCAGGTGGGTATCTGCCATTCACACTATTATCTGTACTAGACTCTTACAATTGACAGTTATCAAGAGTTTTTCCAATTATTTTCAGGTTAGAAAGAAATTCACAAAACACAACTCAAAAGCTAGAAGAAACCCTGCAAAAGACCAACATAATTCTTGGCAAGAATTCCTTAGCAGTTGTGAAGAACATCTGGTTCTTGTGTAGATTTCTCTCCCCGTTCTCTGCACAGACTGATTCACAATTGTAAGGCAGCTGATGAACCCAGAGACCATGTCCTGGCTGTTTAGTGTACAGTTGCCTCCACGTTCCAGGCAGCCTGTGCTTGTCAGGTTCACAGATTATGAAGCCAGAAGGAACCACAGTCACTGTGTATTTCGACTTCCTCCACCACACAACCCATAGGCTACTCTCAACTAACTCCTGTCTGAGGCAGACAAAACTCCTTGGAGGAGCAGGGACAAAGGAATGTAACCTTAACTCCAAATTTTCCAGTGATTAGGAATCCCCTGCAATCTTTGTTAGACTGTCTCAATGGTTAATAATTTACTCTTCACATTTGCATAGTAATCAAAATAAACATCAAGAGATACAGGCTTCCCAAAAGCACGAGCTCTGGGCAGGAGCAGTCAGTATTGATCTGAGCAGCAAGGGCACAGTCTGTCCCTAGCAGGGACCAGCTTGGGTTGCTAAACACGCTCCCTTACCTGCCGTGCTCGCAGAGCCACTTTAGCGTTGGTTGTCTTGCTGAGCTGGGTCAGCTCTGTCAGAATATTAATGAGCTCATCTGTCAAGGTGGGGTCACGGCCACAGAGCTGGTCCTAAAAATAGAGAACTGAAAATGTTTAGAGCAGAGGAAAACCATTTTCCATCCTCCTGTAAAGGAGTTTAAAGCTGAAATCCATACATATATGCAGTCAGGTGCTGGACCACATCACCTCTAGAGGTTCCTATCCAAATTATTCTGTAATTCAGAGCTAACAATGGTACAAGTATTAGGCTTGCAACAATGTTACAAATATAAATGAAGCTACAGAGAAAAGAAGGGACGGGCACCATCCCCTATTTTTGTATTTGTAGCATGTGTTTTGGCATCCAAACACATGAGAAACACTGACTTGTCAAAGAAACCCAAGTAAAACATTTTCCCATTACCCAGTTTCAGCTTTGTATCAGAAATCTCCCCCAGCAGCGATGCAAATTCAAAGAGCATTTAACTGTAGCATAATGTCTTGTGTAGTACACAAAGATTGGCAAGCTTTCACCATGAAAGGTGACCAGAGTTAACTGCTGGGAGAACCTCCTAAGGTCCACTTAAAAAAACACCCCAAAACCAAAAAACCCCCAACACCTCCACAACCACAAACCAACCACGTGCTTTGTACAGCCTCAGCAACACCAGAAAAAAAGATCCTGTCATGCCTGTAACAAGGCTAAGCAAAGCTAACTAAAGCCATAAACAGTATGTGTTTCCTCCCACAGTAAAGGACTGACTTCATAATATTTCTTCTCATCAGAGAATCCTGGTTCTGAGGATGTCCACTACCTTATTTACTGTCTAAATTGCCTGTATAAAACAATACAACTGAAAAATATAATTTTCATTGTTAATGCTGTTTTAAAACTCTTCTGGATTCAATAATTCCAAAAATGTAAACAGTAAAGACTTTAATCTGTTTTGTTTTCTGAACAGAGGAGGTGTGCTCTCATGCACACTTTCTGCCAAAATTAGTTTCAGTTGCCATGAATAATCCCAGAGTCTCCAACTACTCACACTGTGAGGCTCTTCCCTCCCACTCCCAAAGCTGGAAATCCTCTAGGAGCCTCTGATGTGTAACTTCACAGCTTTTCTCTTGATAAATGAATCACAGGAGGAAAATGCGAGTTAAATCAGGGATTTGTGAGAGGAAAGAGAGCTGGTGCCTTAAAAGTTTTGAGAGATTTTAAGCACATATAGTCCAGAAAAAGCCCTTTGAAGATCCAGGAAACAGAAAGGGAAAAAGTGAAAGCTCTGCCCAGCAGGTCAGATTGATAAACCTGCCAGGGAAAATAAAGCAAAAGCAAAATAATACAAGTCCCATAGACCGACTAACAAATAACAGCTCATACCACATGCAATTCCAAAGCTGAACAGCTTTTCCCCCACATTCCTCTTGACCCCCTTTCTCTCTGGCCCCATCTCTAGGAATGATGATGTTCATGTCTTAGGGAGAGAGATCGCAGTCAAATTACTCATTAAAAAAAAAATCTAAGCTAATAATTTGTAGTAGATCGTTGTCCCCTCCTCATCAGTCTTCGGCCAGCAAACATCACAATGATTGTTCCCAAAGAAAGTTCTGTAAATTTATCCACTCTGGGTCACTGTGAGAATTCACAGTGAATAATTCCAGAACTGCCTTCAGCGTATTTGAGTCAGAAATTCCTAGGTGTTGTAATGTTACTGCTCAAGGCAACAAAAATCCGAGAGCACACAGGACACCTGCCAGGCCACAGGCGATTCTGTCCAGTTAAGGCTGGGATGGGCACACAACAGTCAGTTTAAGTCCATAAAATGAACATACAAGTTCAAATCACACTATATTTCAACAAATATATGAAAGATGAAGTAGTTCTCATCCTGCCTTAAATGCCTGCTAGCTAAAAAAGGTGAATGATGGCAGCATTACACTATTACTAAAACCATCCTCAGAGCCCCTTGTTAATAATGGATTCCTAGAGATACATCAATAACAGCAACACAAGCATCAAGGTATCTTGACACGACGTTTGCCCTTGGAGGACAAACTTAAACCATCCACACAAATAGCCTGGCAACCCACAGAGTGCCACAGCCTTCACCACGATTACACCAAACGTGCCACGGGGTCCCTCAGACACGAAGAGTAACGTGAGTCAGAAGAAAGAATGATGATCTTCTGGTTAACGGTGTGACCTGGCACTCAGCAGATGGCAACCACAGACTGTCAGGGATTGGAAGGGACCTCG